CATGAGAGGTGTGTGGAGGGTCTAGGGAAAGAACCAGCCACGAGCAAAGTGGGGTACAGGCCCCGGCTGACCCGTTCTGCCTCCCGTCCCCGACCAGGAGCGGGAGTACATCCACCAGGGGAAGGAGGCCATGGCTGTGGTGGACCAGATCTTGGCCCAGGAGGAGAACTGGAAGTTCGAGAAGAATAATGTAAGAAACCTGTCTCCCACCTGCCCTGCCCACATGTGGGGGCGGATTTCCCTCCCTTTTCTGAGGCCTGAGAAATAAGCCCAAGGATGACACAGGTGGAGCCCTATCCCTGCCCCAGGAGAGGGGCCTGGGCTGGGGGTGGCCTCTTGCCAGGAGGTCAGGCTGGACTGGATGTTTCCAAGCCCTCTCCCCGCTTCTGCCCCCCCCCCCCCCAAACCTCCCCACCCCCATCCTCATCTCCCTGGGCTCAGCTTTGAAGGGGAAGCCAGGCTTGTGTCTGGTATTTTAACAATCAAACAATGTTACCTAAAAAGATGGCGGAGAGCTTGGAACACGGGGAACATCCCCGTCCCCGTCTCTGGCCAGGGCCTCTGGCAGCCCTCATGGGCCTGGAGACACGGTTCTTCGAGGTCACGGCCACGGCTCTGCTCCTGTCTTTTGACTTGATATCAACAGCTTTTGCCTTCTTGTTGCCGGACATTGTCAGAACCACTGTTTTTCTGACGGCTGCTCGAGGATCCCCAGACTCCTGGGGTTTTCTGCCCTGAGCTGTTAAGAACCTCAAATACCTGTCACCCATTCCTGAGCCACCCCCCATGCCCGCCCGGCCTGCCCACCTCCCTGCCCCTCTGTCCCTCCCACAGGAATACGGGGACACTGTGTACACCATCGAGATTCCCTTTCATGGCAAGACGTTCATCCTGAAGGTGAGGGAGGGAATTGGGTGTTCTGGCGGGTCCTGAGCCTCGGACTCCAGGTGGGGGCTGAGGGGCCCGCTGGCAGACTTCTCGCCACCAAGAGGAAAGGGCTGGGGTGCCCGAGCACAGCTGGCACCACCCAGCCCTCTGCCCGCCCTGCCTAGACCTTCCTGCCCTGCCCTGCGGAGCTGGTGTACCAGGAGGTGATCCTGCAGCCTGAGAGGATGGTGCTGTGGAACAAGACGGTGACCGCCTGCCAGGTGAGCGGGTCGGGGCAGAGGCCAAGGACATGACAGGTCAGGGCACGGCATGGCCAGCTACCCCAGGCGCCCCGGGTCATGCCACTGAACTGCTCCGTGCCTCAGGTTCCCCTTCTGTGAAGTGGGGGTGATGGCAACAGTTTCCCGGAGAGGGTTGGGAAAGTGGACGGCGCCTGGCCCAGGCCCCAGGAATGGGAATAGCTGTTGGTAAAGGGACCTGGGCCTGGAGCAGGCGGGGCTGGAGTCTCCTGGGCTGGGCCGCACCTCATGTCCCCCAACACCCGCAGATCCTGCATCGGGTGGAAGACAACACCCTCGTTTCCTATGACGTGTCCGCGGGGGCCGCGGGCGGGGTGGTCTCCCCGAGGTGAGTAGCCACCACGGCCCTCCTCTCAGGCAGGCCTCCTGCCCCTGCATGTTGGGCGTGGCACCCCCTGACCTAACCCTCCCTCCCCCAGGGACTTTGTGAATGTCCGACGCATAGAGCGGCGCAGAGACAAATACCTGTCTTCAGGCATCGCCACCACCCACTGCGCCAAGCCCCCCACCCACAAATACGTCAGGTGAGCCTTGGCCTGCCCAGGGTCATCCCAGCCAGCCCCTCCCAGGCCGCTGTGAGGACAGGCGGGGACAGAGTGTACAGCTGGGGACTCTCTCCTGCTGAGGTCGCCTTCCGGTCCCCTGTCCCACTGGGCTTTGTCCTCCCGGCCCCTAATCCGGCTAATCCGCTGCCCTGTGTGCTGGAGGCTGGGGGAGTAATGTCTGGACCACGCCACCCACTCTGGGCAGCTCCAGGGCTAGACTGGGATAGGGCCTGCCCCGGGCCGCCCGAGCAGGAGATTCGAGTCCCCTTTCCCTGTCCTCGCCCTGTCCGATACCTGGCCTTTCTCCTGAGCACTCGGAAGTCCGCCAGAGGAAGAGGAGTGGCGCGGTGGTGCCTGCGGCCTGTTCCAGGCTTCCCGCGGTTCTCCGTCTGTCTAATCCTAGACTCCAGAGCCTCAGGCGGCCTCTGCCCAGATCCCTCCTTCCCCTTCCTTCCTGGGCTCGCAGAGAGCGCGGTTGTTTGGGTATCAGACTGGGGCTCTGGTCTCAGCACGACCCGGACTTGCTGGGTGACAGGCAGGCTTGTTTCCTCTTGGGGCGCCAACGTCCTTACCTGTGGAGTGGGCTTAAGCGTGCTCAGTGGAGCTGTGGGCAGATTAAATGGGGTGAGATGTGAATACAGCCCAGGCCCTGACCAGCACCCCTCTGCTCCCTGAATTGGGCAGGGATGAGAAGTGCCCGCCCGGCCACCCCTCACAGCTAGAGCTGACCTAGAATGACTGGACAGTGGTGAGGGCTGGGCGGGTGGGGAGCGCCGGGTGTGCAGACCTGGCAGCTGCGGTAGGAGCATCACAAGGGGGTGGGGATGGGAAGCCGTGGGCTCTGGGCACCTGCTCTGGCCCTGCTCCCGCAGGGTAGCAGTTGCTGGACCGGCAGATCCCTTCCCTCTTCCGTCCACCTCCAAGGTGGGCCAGGAATGGAGGGGGCGAGCCAGGGGCCTGGCCTGGCTCCAGAGTCCCCAGTGGTGCCTCTCCCCTCAGGGGTGAGAACGGTCCTGGCGGCTTCATCGTGCTCAAGTCGGCTAGCAACCCCCGCGTCTGCACCTTCATCTGGATCCTTAACACAGATCTCAAGGTGAGGGGCTGGGGCTGCAGGCAGGGTCCGTGCCATGGAGGCTCTGCTGTGTGATCTCGGGGCTCCCTGCCCCCTCGGGCCTCCCCTCCTCTCCACCTCCTTTCTTACTCTTAGATTTGGTGACTGAGCCCCAAATCTTGCTGCCCTCGTAGCCGGAGGGCCTGTGCCTCTCGTTTCTTACCTCTGGCTCCTGAGGCCCTGAGGAGGGGTGGCTGGCAGCCAGCCTAGCCCCTCCCAGGTCTGTTTGGCTGGCTGGTGCCAAGACCTGGGCACAGGATGTTCTTCCTGCCAAGGGTGAGGGGGCGAGGGTGGCCCCGGTGGCATTCCAGAGCTGCGCCTGCATTCTGGCCCAGAGCACTCCCTGCTGGTGCCCTCATTGCGGGAGGAGCCTGCTGAGAGCTAATCCCCACCCTCCTTCCCCTCCCCTCCCCAGGGCCGCCTGCCCCGGTACCTCATCCACCAGAGCCTCGCGGCCACCATGTTTGAATTTGCCTTTCACCTGCGGCAGCGCGTCGGAGAGCTGGGGGCCCGGGTGTAACGGGGCCCCCTCGCCACCCTGCGGGCCAGGGTTCGGTCGCTACAGCCTCCAGAGCCAGAGAGGGGGCCGGCGGGGCTGCCCACAGAGGACCTGGCTCGGGAGGACGAAGCAGCTCCCTCCCATGGCACCCCCTGGCCCCAGGCTGCCACGCTTCGCTGTGCCTGAGCCACGGCCGGGAGCAGGGTGTGGGGTCAGCACCTAGACTCCGGGCTCTGCCACCGGGGCAAGTGGAGTCTGTCCTGCTGATGTTTACATGGCGCCCCGCCCAGCCCAGGGCAGGGTCTGGAGTGGGAGCCTCAGACTCGGTGGGTGAGGGCCAGGGCCCTGGGCAGGGTGGAGCCAGAGCAGCCTTGTCGCCGGTTCCGGTGCAGGAGCCCCTTCTGCCTGCTCTCCTCACGGATTGGGGATCGTTTAAAGGGTCTGGGACCTCTTTCCACATGTACTTGTGGGGGAGTGGGCGGCAGGTGGGGATGGTGGGTGCTGTCAGTGAACCCCTGCCTCTCCCAGGGTCTCTTCCTCTGCCCAGGGCCTCCTTGGGGACCTTTGTATTTTGAGCCAATTAAAGATATGAACTCACAGGCCGGTTGAGTGTCAACCTATGAACCAGGAGGTCACGGTTCAATTCCCGTCAGGGCACATGCCCTGGTTGCGAGCTCAGTCCCCAGTGTGGGGCGTGCTTGAGGCAGCCAATCAATGATTCTCATCATTGATGTTTCAATCTCTCCTCCTCCCTTCCTCTCTGAAATCAATAAAAATATATATTTAAAAAAATAAAATAAAACTATGAACTCAAAAGAGAAAAAAGCAAGCCCTCCAGCTGGCCACTTGAGGGAAGGGAGGGTAGCACTGCAGATGGGGAAGGAGCGAGCCACCACCGTGCCAGATACATGGCGCATTCTCTCAGCCCCTGGAGCCAGTGGGACTCAGTTCCTGGACTCCTCCCCCTCCCCCCCCATACGCACACACTTTCCTGAATGGCTCAACCGGGCAGATGACGGGGCAGAGAAAAATGCCCCACCCTCCCCTGCCAGGCTTCCTGTGAGGAAGGTCAAGTTAAGGTCTCCAGTCCAGGATTGGGGAGGAGGTAGGAGAGACCCAGCAGGCCATAGCAGGCCCTGGCTGTTTCTGGGGTCCCATGACCAGCAGGGGCCTGGAGGAGGGATCTGGGCTTCCTGGTCACTGAGGCACCTCTGGGATCTCTGCTCCATCTGTACGTACCCCCTGGGCCCAGCCACACTCATAAGAGTCAGATCCCAGGCGAGGGCCAGGGTGCTGCCCTCCTCCCTCCCTGCCTGCAGGCTCCCAAAGGAGCCCATCTCGGTCCTGGCTGTGTGTGACCCTGGGCAGGTCTGCGTCAGGGCCTCCGTTTCCTACTTTGTAAGCATGAGACACACTATCATGTCAGGGCTATCATCAGATTAAAGTACCAGCGCAGGGATAGTGCCTCAGCCATCGAGTACGCGGTCCTGCCCCAGGTGGTGCCAGCTGTCCCCTCAGGTCCGCATCTCGGCTCCTGTCTGCCTCTTCCGGTGCTTTGTCCACATTCCTCCTCCCTCTCCTACCCCCCCGCCCCCGCCCCTGCCCACCACCTTGTGTGCCAGCTCACAGCCCAGCAGCCATCCTGCTCCCCGTGACGAGACCGAGGCCCAGGCCCTGCCCAGGTGACACATTGGAGCTGGCAGGCCCCAGAGCTCTGGTCAGGCTGTTGTAACCAGAAGGTGAGGGGAAATGAAGCCCAGAAAGGGGCAGGGACTGCCCCATTGTCACCCCGTTAATGGCTGATTTGGGGCTAGAGCCAGGTCTGCTGACTGCCACTCATGGGAGCCCCTGGAGTTACCCCACCTGGGGTATTGGGAATAGAGCTGGGGGCCACTCCCACACCTTGCTCCACCCTGACTGGCTGGATTTGGGAGACCCCTTCTCTGACCACTGGCCGTGGGGGAGGAAAAGGTTCCTGCCCAGGCTCCAGGTGGGGAGTGAGCTGCCAGGATCCCTGCCGCCGGGGTGGTGCTGACAGTCCAGAACTGGGCCTCTCCATGCGGACACCTGAGGATGTGGTTGCACTGTCCCTGTGGAGGGCATATCGGGGATGTGCCCTCAAACCCAGGCAGAGGAGAGCAATGGGCTGGGGACCTGACGGCCTGGTACGGAGTCCAGAGGGGCCTCAGTTCCTGCACTCTCCTGCTCTGTTTACAGACAAGCCTCTGTCCTGGTGAGGGGGAAGGGGTGGGGCCGAGAGCAGGTGCCAAGGTGGCACGAGGCTGGGCATGTGCCTGGTCTCAGACCGTGTCCAAGGAGTGTCAGACACCAGGAGGTGTCGCACGGAAGACCCCTGCCCCCACCGGGGTATCTTGATCTCTTCAGAAGCTGACCTCTGACCTGGGGCCAGCCAAAAGTCCAGGCACCCCACCCCCCAGCCTGGGCCCAATGTCCCCCATCAGAGTCTTGGCTCTTCTTATGGCATCTGACACCAGAGGGGCTGAAAATAGCCCTGGAGGAGGGGAGGAGGGGCTATTTAAAGGACCTGGAAGGAGCAGAGGGAGTGAGGCTGATCATGGCCACTTCTGAGCTGAGCTGCCAGGTGTCTGAGCAGAACTGTGAGCGCCGAGAGGCCTTCTGGGCTGAATGGAAGGATCTGACACTGTCCACGCGGCCTGAGGAGGGGTGAGTGCTGGCCAGCTGGGGGTCCCTCCTCTCCTCCCCAGCAGCACCCTTCCTGAGCCTTAGGAAGCTCGAGCACAAAGTTTCTCGGGGTGGGGTCACCCCTCCTGCACCCACCGGGTCCCCTGCCCAGCCCGTAAGTGGAAGGCAACACCCAGGAGCTCAGTGCCCCCTCCCCTCTCCCCCCAGGTGCTCCCTGCATGAGGAGGATGCCCGGCGGCATGAGACCTACCACCGGCAGGGGCCGGTGCCAGGCGCTGGTGCAGCAGTCCCCCTGGCTGGTGATGCGCATGGGCATCCTGGGCCAAGGGCTGCAGGAGTACCTGCTGCCTTACCAGCGGGTGCTGCCGCTGCCCATCTTCACCCCCACCAAGGTGGGCGCCGCCAAGGAGGAGCGCGAGGACACCCCCGTCCAGCTGCGGGAGCTGCTGGCACTGGAGACAGCCCTGAGTGGCCAGTGCGCGGAGCGGCAGGACATGGCGGAGATCACCAAGCAGTTGCCCCCTGTGGTGCCTGTCAGCAAGCCAGGCACCCTTCGTCGCTCTCTGTCCCGCTCCATGTCCCAGGACGCACAGAGAGGCTGAGAGGGACTGTGTCTCCCTCTTCACTGGGCTGGGCCCTTCCTGGCTAGGACCATGGAGGGGAGCTGCTGGCCTTGGATGCTTTGTAGTTTGCCCAAAGTTGGGGGCTAGGAGAGGAGGGAGCCAGAGGCCAGGATGCCTGGTTCCCCTGAGTTCCCAAAGGGAGGGGAGCAAGGACAGTGGGCACGAAGGGTGGAGAGCTGGGGCCAGCACCGCTGAACAGCCCCAGCCCAGGAGAAGGGACAAAAGATGCTGAGGAGGGAAAGAGGTGCCTGAGAGGGGCGACCGAGCTTCAGAGGACAAGGGAGAGTGTACGGAGATGGGAAATGCCCGGGAAAGGCTTGGAGAAGACCAGAGGGAGGGGGATGTGAAGAGGGCAGAGGCGGGTGCAGCCCCCAGCACCCTCTGTTAGTGCTGCAATAAATGCTCAATCGTGTTCCAGTTTCATGTCTTTCCTTGTGGTTGTGGGGGCCACCCATTGGTGTCACCCCCCCCCCCCCTTAATGCTGGGAACAGGTCCTGCATCTGAGCTAAATATGGCAGAGCTAGTGGATACGCCCATGTTTGGGGGGTGGGGTAGAGCTGTAAACAGGGGCCGTCTGTCCAGTCCCCCTCTGGTAGCTGACTCTGCTGTGCAGTCTGGCCTCCATGTCCAGTCCCCTGGCTCAGGCAGTGCCCAGGAGGCCAGCTGGCATGCAGGGCTTGTTTGATCTCTTGGAGAATATGGAGGGAGCTGGCACTAGGGCTGTCCTTGGCTGTGTCTCCGTGTGTGGATGGGGTCAGTGACCCCGAGGCTGACCTGCCTCAGCTCTGAATCCAGACAAGCAATCCTCGGCTGGGGCCAGGCGCTCCCCGCTCCCTCTCTGGGAGCCCAGGGTGGGGCGCTGGGGGTGGGGTGGGCGTAGGTTCCTGTCTGTGCCCCCTGCAGCTGTTGTGGTGACTCTGACTCGTGTTCCAATCTGGCTGCCCGCAAGGAGCAGGCCAGGGGCTGGTAGCCTGCCCAGGGCAGGGGCACTGGGCTGACCCCCGGGCGTCCCATGCCAGGAAAACCACCCCACTTCCTGTTGGGAGGTTAAGGGGAGACCCTGGCATCTTGGCAGACTGGCCCCGTCCCCGGAGGGGGCTGAAGGGGGCTGGGGAGGGAGAGGGGGCAGCAAACCAAGACCAGCGGGATCCCAGATCCCTGGGCCCAGAGGCTGAGGCCGCGCCCCTGCGCCCTCCCGCCCGCACCTGGGGCCCGCGCCCCGACGGGACCGGAACGTCCCGAGCCTTCCGCCCCGGGCGCCTCAGATAAGTGGCTCCGCTAAATGCATAGTCCCGCTCGCGGCTCCTATCGCTGCCGGCATCGCACGGGCGGGGCGAGCTCCCTCTGGGCCGGGGGCGCCATCGGCGAAGCCGGGACGGACTGTTCTGTGCGCAGTGGGGTGGGCGGAGGGCGGAGGGCGCCGGGGGACGGAGGAGGGGTCGGAAAGTACGAAAGGGAGGCCTGGAGGAGGGCGTGGGGTGACCTGACCACGGAGAGGGGTGGATGTTGGACAGGGCGTCCCGGGGAAGGGGCCCCCGCGGGGGGCTGGGCCCTGATGGAGAGCGCTGAGCGGGGGACGGGGGAGAAGGGATGGCGGGCCGGGAAGAGCGAGCTCCACCGTGGGGGCG